GATCAAGCAGCTGGGAAGAGGCACCTTCCCCATTAAGGGTCCGGACATTCCACGTGCATGCCCTCAAATCTTAGTTCTTTGAACGAGGTCGTCATCATAATGGGGGTCTCACTTAGGCTTTCTTTTTTTTTCTTCACTGGAAGTGGTTTTTACGTGGCGAGTCCCAAACCTAGCGTAAAACCCATTGGTGGGACGGGGATGGTTTCGCCACCAAATATACGTATATATATGACACCCGCTTGCAGCCGCACCTACAGAACTTTGAACAGACGCTGCAGACTTCAGTCAGCCCTTAAACCGAATAAGTCGGAGGGGCCCCACCGAAGCTCCCTCTCTTGCCGCCGTGACCCAAGGCTCCACTCGGATTGGTTATAGCATCTCGAACATGGGTTTCTCACGTTGCCCAGAGTGCGCGAACGAGGACTCAAGAGTCGGGATTTAGTATAGCCGTGAAACTGTATCTGCATACCCAGCACAACGATTATACCCCACTGGTTTTTTCTACAGATTCAGAAGAATGTCTCCACTTTCGTACCCGTGCCGTATAAAAAATTAGGATCGGAAGAGTGACCACACAAAGGCTTACTACCATACTTACTTACTTACTGCATGCATTAAATGCGGAGGAGACGACATGTCTGGGAAGTTGGCATACGGTATGACGTAAAACGATAAAAAGTTGTTCTGAGTAGCCTTCCAATAGTTCTAGAGTTCTTGAAAAGAAAAAAAAAGTTCTGGATATTTTGACAAAGAAAAATTGCTTCAAAAATAATCTATGCCAGATTCACGTAGCATACGACATGTGGAAAAAACGCAAATAAAAAATTATTCTGAGTAGCTTTTCGATTGTTCTATAGTTTCAGAAAAAATTTTTTTTCGAAAAAGTCGAAGTAAAATTTTTGAAAAATTAAATTAAAACAGTTCTGAGCAGCTGTTCAACAATTCTAGAGCTCCTGAGAAGGAAAAAAGGAGGTTCTGAAAATTACGCCGAAAAAACATTTTTTTAAAAAAAAAAAATAAAAGTTTTTTTTTTTAAAAAAAAAAATAAAATCTAAAACTGTTATGAATAGCCCTTCAATAGTTCTGGAGTTCCTGTGAAGGGAAAAGAAAATTCTGCAAAATTACACCGAAAAACCATTTTTTGCTAAGAAGCCGAAAAAGTTATATTTTTGAAAAAAAAAAAAATAAAATTAAAGTCTGTTCTGAGTAGCTTCTCAATAGTTCCAGAGTTCCTGAAAAGGAAAAAGAAGGGTGTGCAAAATTACGCCGAAAAAACATAAAGTTGATGATTTAATATGATTTCGAAACACCGCGATCAACACGCTAAATACCTTAATGTGCCAACTGCCAACGATATGGCCACACAAAGGCTTACTACCATAGAAGGCCGGTATGCATTAAATGTGGAGGAGCCGACATGTCTGGGAAGTTGGCATACGGTATGACGCAAAACGGCAAAAACAGTTGTCCTGAGTAACCTTCCAATATTTCTAGAGTTCTTGAAATTGAAAAAAAGTTCAGGATATTTTGACAAAAAAAAAATTGCTTCAAAAATTGTGTATGCCAG